TTGAATAACATGTGAATCAGAAAATCAGAAGCTCATGGCTGAAATATTGGAAAGGAACAAATATTTATACACAACAAACGTGAAGGCAGTTACAGCTGAAATAATAAAGGTTCCTAAATGTTTTTTCCCGTGAACAGGAAAGTGAGAACTGAGGTGAACCAAGGTGACGCTGGAGGATTTAGAAGAGGAACAGGGGCTGCTGTGGCCTTACGTGACTCTCATCTCCCTGGGATCCAAGGCTGGCTGTTGGCAGGGGCTGCGTGTGAAGGGACCCAGGGAAAGATGCAGAAAGGACAAGGGCGCCTCATCTGTGGAGGGAAAGGCACCATACATCCCCACACCCAGGACGTGCTCCACAGGGAGACTTCATGGGATCATAAAGAGTGGGTTCCGGGTGCTGCAGAAAGCTCTCTGTCACCAGAGGTATCACAAGCAAAGACAGGAGACCTGCTCATCTAGAATGTCCAGCAGGGCTTACTGGAAGGTGTTTCAAAATTTGCTTTTAACCCTGAAATGGAATCTTTTTTCAATATACTACTTTCTCTAATACTCGATGAAAAGGAGAGAAAGCATCCTATGTGTGAAAGGAACTGGGCCAGGACTTCAGGGCTCCAGTCCCCGACCCCCCCCCCCCCCCCCCCCCCCCCCCCCCCCCGGGGGCAAAGACCCCCCCCCCCCCCCCCCCCCCCAAGGCCCCCCCCCCCCCCGGCCACTCCCACCGGGCTCCGTGTGCCGGCTGTGACCCTCGAACTCTGCCACATTCTGGACCACTGGTGTCCTGCAGCCCCTGTGCCCTATGGTGCGCCCATCTGCCCCCATCTTCCAGGATATGGTTTCCCACCTGGAGCCCTGAGCCTGGGGCTGAGCAGCTGGGGCACCGAAACTCAGCTATGTGACTCAACACAAGCTCGACTGTCCTTCCTCCAGGCCTGGATCTTCCACCAGTAGCAAGAGCAACCTTAAGATGAATGAAGATCAAGAGTGTCCCCCCTCTCCTGTGGAGCAAAGCCCTCATCTGTGCAGAGCATCTGTTCTGAGATGAGATGAGCTGGCGCTGCCTCGGGAATACAGCTTGAGGAGGCCCTGGGACATTCTCCCAGATGTCCTCATATCGCCCCATCCAGTTTCCTTGCCTGAAATCCTAGTGTCCGCAAGTTTGCAGTGTGGAATGCCACAGCTAGGACAACACACTAAGCTGGATGCAGTCATCGGCCACCCTCGCCTTGGTGGGAATAATTCTTCTGCACAAGCTAGGCTTCAGAGTGGGGGCCACGATGCAAAAACAGACACCCAGACAGAATCTCTGTGGTGCCAGGACTTTTCTGGAGTTCACTGGGTTTGAAGTGGGGCTAGGAGAGTAGAGGGGTCCAGCTCTGTTCTTAGTGCTCCCCAGAAGGGACAGGGGACAACTCCTGAAAGGGTGTTACAATCGTGTCCATTTTACAGAGATGAAGCTCAGAGATGTTCAAGAATCCACCCAAGGTCAAACAAACAGAGAGGGACCAGCTAGAACTCACATTCAAGTCTCTCATTCCTTGGCCCCCACGCTGGCCCCCCACCAACATCACCAGCAAGAGCGCCATTTGTCCAGGAGCTCCGGGCAGCCTGGGGCATGCTGGCTGCACCTCACCTACTCCTCGTTCCCTTGGACTCTCCTCCACTGCTAAAAATCCCACCCCTTCCTTCCAATGCCCACACTCTGATCCACCCACATCATCCCACGTGGTTTACCCACTGTGGCCAAGTGGGAACCACTGGGAGTCATCTGTGTACTACAGGGTGTGTCCCCGCTCTCCAGTAGCAACCCAGGACATGAACCGTGCGTGGCTCCTTCCCCTTTATATCAAGTGTCTTGAAAATTGGTCCTTGGTAGGTCTTACTGGGTGAAAGAGAAAATGAATAAGGGAAGAAGGAAGGGAAGGGAAGGGGGGAGGGAGGGCCTGTTGGCTGCAGCTCCAGGGACAGACGCTTAGACCCTGAGCAGAGCTGAGCCTCCCATGGTGCTGTGGGGAGCACTTTGCACACCCCTGTTCCCCTCTGCACCAGCTTGAGCAGCACAAAGCCCAGCCTAGGATAGTCCAGGGTGATCTCATGCTCAGGGAAGAATCCAGAACTTTCATGGTTCTAAATGCTTCTATATTTCTTGCCTCCCAGCCTCTTCAAAATTAGGGTCTAAGAACAAGCCAGTTAAGGCTGGGAATGTAGCCCAGTGGTAGAGCACTTACCTAGTATGCCTGAGGCCCTGGGTTCAATCCCCAGCACAGTAAAAAATGATAATAATAATAATAATAATAATAATAATAATAAAAACCCAGTTGTATGATAATAGCCAGAGCTGACCAGATGTTTATGGGGGACAAGCAGACCCAATCATTTACTTTGCTCAAGAGCCCTATGAGGAAGAAACTGGTATTGTCCCGTTCCTTGAAAGGTAAACTGAGGCTAGAGAAATGACACAACTGGTATGTGGCAGGTGCTGGGCTCTCACATGGGTCCCTGGTATGCCACAAGCACCTTGCTCAGGGGTAGGAGGAGGATTCCTAAGAATACGAGAGCTCAGGCACTGGGTGATTTCCCGACAAGACACCAGGGAACTGGCAGCCGGCCCAGGGAGGGGCTGTCACGCAAGCCCTGCCTGTTGGGGAAGGCTCCTGGGCTGCCTGCATGGAGATGTCCTCACCTCAATGAGAGGCTGAAACCCTGACTCAGATCAGGAGGAAGTTGAGGGTTCGTAGGAAAATGTCACCCATTATCGGGGACAAACCAGGTTTGCCTACTGCTTCTGCTGTCGTGGAGTATGCCCGAGGGCTGCCATGGTCCTGCCACCTTGCCCACTGAGCCAGTGCAAGTATGGACCGAGCATCGGCCCCCAAAGCCCCACTGACCCCTGGAAAGTCTCCTATGGTCCACGAGAGCAAGGTCAGGTCAGAGGCGCCGTGCCTCAGTTTCCCCAGTGGCCCAGAGGCTGTTACCTGTGGGTGGTCCAGTGTATCTGAATGAGCTACGAGGTGTCATTTCTCCTCCAGGCCCCGCTACCTGTCTGCTCTGGGCAGAGCCACTTCCCCTCTCTGGGTCTGAACTTCCTTGGGGGCTGAGAGGAGGAGGTGGGGCCAAGGGCTCCAAGTGGCTCCAGCTCAGCCAGTCTGGCGGAGGGGCTTTTCCTCGGGGGCGGGGGGGCGCTAAAGAAGGGCTAGGTGTGGGTCCCTGCCCTGAGCTGGTCAAGAGTGTCGCTCATAGGGAGCATGCTTCCAGGAAGAGAGTCTACACTCCTGTGTTCTCATGGAGGGACTGCACACCCACCTAGCTTCCAAAAAAATAAAAGCCAAGAAGGAGTGTGTGTGTGTGTGTGTGTGTGTGTGTGTGTGTGTGTGTGCAGACCTGGGAAGTCTTTGGAAGAGGAAGCAGTCTCACAACACCTGTCATTCCAAGAGGGGGTCAGGCGGGGACCACCAGCAGCTGGGAAATGTTGCCATGATACCCAGCACTCCTGGGTTTAGGATGAGGAATTGCCACCCACAGAAAGGACAGTGGTGTCGGACACCTTCATATAGGACATTTGTGCTGAAAAGTCTAGGTGGCCCGGGCCAGGGCTGCCTCGGCCCCCACAGACGTGACTACAAGGAGATTTCCCTGGTGCCTCTGATCTTCAGGGTTGAGAAAACTGAGACTGGCCTGTGAACAGTGGGTGGCTCTCAACAGGGACCCCTAGAAGATTCCAGGCAGTTAGGAACGTCTGGGCTGAAACGCCGTCTGGCAGATAAAGCTCCCAAGTCCAGGAAGTGCCAGGAGTCGGCCTCAGAATACAGAGGCACAGGCTGTCTCACGAGCCTTGCACACTGTGACTCTCAGGTGTCTGCAGGAATAGAAACTGCCCGGGGTGGTCTGGGTGATTCATCCCAGCACACGGGTCTTCCCTGTAGAAGCAGCAATTCGTGTGTCGCTTCAGGAAGCTGCCTGACCCTCCAGAGCTCGAAATCCCCTTGTTCCGTGAAGAGGTTAGCAGAACTGTGACAGCCATGTTGGCCTTCCCTGTCTCAGATTCTGACCGCTGGTGTGATGGTCCCTGGGTGCCAAGACGGGCCACTGGACAGTCCAAGTAGGCTCCCAGTGTCCCTAGCCAAAGGCCAGCTACCAGGCAAGGGAGGGCAGACAGGTCTGAGTATCCTGGGGCGAGGAAACCAGAAGCCTGTCACGGTAGCAGCAGGGAGGTGACAAGATATCAGATGCCACCTTGATACCCAGAGCCTGTGGTGTGGGGACTCCAGGAGGGGTCCACAGTGAATGGCCTGCAGAGAGGCATGTCCCAGCTCAGCCCCTTCAAAGAGGGCCTTGCTGACCTCCTGCTCTGGCCACCTTCTTTTTGTTTGTCCTAGAGATGGAACTCAAGGGCGCTTAACCACTGGGCCACACCCCCCAGCCCTTTTTGTTTATTTACTTATTTTTGAAACAAGGTCTTGCTAAGTTGCCCCAAATTTGTGATCCTCCTGCCTCAGCCTCCTGAGTCCCTGGGATTAGAGGCGTGTTGCCCACATGTCCAGCTACCTTCTTTTTTAGAATGAATATTTCTCTTGTCTTAATGACGTTGCTTGTTATTTAAATATTTGAATACATGCGCAGGATTCAAAGACATATGTAAAGTTTGGTAAAAGATCTCTGTCCCCGCCCCCCTCAGTCCAGCTCCCTGTGTGCTCCAGAGACAGAGGGTCGCACTCCTCGGGGGCAGCCAGACTCTTCACGGAACAGGGGAGTTCGAGCTCTGGGGCTTAGGCAGCCTCCCGAAGTTACACACCTGCTGTTTGTACAGCTCCCCGCCCCCCACCACAGCCCCAGGAGTCATAAGTAAGAAGTTTCTCAGAAGGTTTCTCTGAGCCTCCTGGAACTGACACCCTTGTTCTGCCTACTCCATTACCGTAGAGGACAAACTAGAGGCCTTGGGAGCCTGGTGTGGTTCCCACCGCCTTCCAGACGGGGACCCTAGAAGGGTGACATTGAGCACATACCTCTGACTTCTCCAGGCAGGGCAGCGAGAGAGCTCCAGGTTCCCACTCCTTCTAGGGCAGGAAACAAGCCCTTCTGACTGTGCCGGCCCAAAAGCAGCTCCGCCATACCTGGGGACTCACCACATCCTCTCCTGACGCTGGTTCCATTCACCATCAAAGGGCCAGCCCTGCCCTCCTGGAGCACCCCCTCCAGAGAAGGAGATTTGCCCAGGAGGAACCGCAGGGGGAGAAGCTGGCCCAGGGCCCCCATTGACAGGCAGGTGATCAGCGGGCAAGGGCAGAGGCACAGAGAACAGCAGGAGGGGTTTGGCATCCTGGGGGCCCAAGGTCCCTCTGCGCAGCCCAAGGCCAAGATGCATAAGGAATGGCAAGAGGCAGGCCAGACAGGAAGAGAGGCTGCTCAGGGCCCCCAGGAACACGTGCACTGGACAGGAACGTTGCCCCAGAAGTAGTCCTGCAAAGGAGAAATCCTGACATTCTTCTCTCATCCAGGATCAGCTACAGTGCACGGGGGCAGCTCAGGATCAGGACTGGGTGCAGGAGGCAGCAGGGTGGGGTGAGGGCAACAGCCACAGCCAAAAGGGATCAGGACAGGAAGGGGTGTCTTGAGAAAAGGGCCTCTGGGTCATCTGAGGCAGCCTGACTCCAAAGACAGCCCAGCAGGCCTGGAGTGGCCACTCCCCCCTGTAACTGGGGAGGGTTGCCTAACTTCTCAGAGACCACTTCCTCATTTGCAAATTGGGGTCATGGGTTCAAGCAGTTGTTGATTATCTACCATGTGGCCAGCAGTGGTCAAGGCAGACGGCAGTATCTATCTCAAAAGCATTGAGGAGTCATCAGGGTGACAGGGGTCAGGCACCCAGCAAGGGCCTGGTACCCAGCAGGGGAGTCGATCCCATCGACTGCCTGCCATTGTCTCCCTTAAAGATCTGTGTGACAAAGGAAAAGGAGCAATAATGGAACCCTCTTACATGAGGACAGCAGGGTCCCAACCACAAGAGGCGCCCTCAAAAGAGGGGAGGGCAAGGGAAACTGAGGAAGGGACGGCAAGGAGAAGAAGGTGGGCCGAGCAACTCAGATGCCCGCATCAGCCTCTGCTCCAAACCTCCAGGCTCTGCCACACTTCTGTCCCCAAGCTCCACCTGAGGCTGAATGACTCCCTCGGCCAGTCAGTCATCCAGGAGCACAAAGCAGGCCTGTTCCTAGAGCCCTGGCAGAGTCCCCCACCCTACCCACTGGTCGCCCACAAAGACAGCTGGATCCCAAGAGCCACTGACAGCCCTCAAGATGTCCAGCCTTCCTGAAAGTGGACGCACGGGAACCCACCTACATCAAGGCCCAGACATGTTCAGGCAGGGGCCAGCAGCCATTTAGAATGTGCCCCTCCACCCAGATTTTCCTGGAAATGCAACGTGAGGTCAGAGGAGGAAGTTGGAGGTGCTCAGGCTTCTCAGCTTGCCTCCTGCTCCTGTCGCGATTCTGGCTGAGTCTAGAGCCTCTCAGCTCCTCCCTGCAGCCATCCTGCTGTGGCTGCTCAGGTTCCTGATGGCACTGGAGCCCCCTGAACACGCAGACGTCTAACAAATGTGCTCTTTAAGCCCACTGGTTATCTTGACTCCAAAATCCACAGCATCCAGAGGGGCCCTTCACCACGAATATTCTGGAAAAAAATGGACATTTAGAAAAATGGACCCTGCCGAACTTGGGTAGGAAAGAATCCTGTTTTATGTGAGCAGGACTGCTGCTCAGAGGGAAGCCCCCATTTTCCTTGGCTTCCTCCACCGCACCCCATGTGTGGAGGCTCTGGACAGCCTGTGGACTCTAAGGAAGTGCTCCTGTGTGAACACCACTGGCTTCCTGATGTCCAGCTTCCCCCCGGGCCCTTTTGAGGTCTGACTCTCAGCGGGGCAGGGTCCTGAGATGAGCCGTCCTGGGGTCTCCTGGTCTTCCCTTCACTCCCACCTGCCAACCAGAGCTCTTGGGTCTCGTCAGCCAGGGGTCAAGGGACAAGGGCTTCTTCCCATCTCAGTGCCACCTCTGCCTTCTCCTTGACACCAGGTGAGGTCACAGCTACAGAGTTACTCTCCTTTATTTATTTCTTGGGGCTACGTGGGCGTGGAGTGAGCAGGTGGTGGACACTTTTGAAATGAGTATTTTCTCCTCATGTTTCCTGTTGCCTAAAACTGTACCATTTCCCTTGCCCACACACGGCCCGGGGCTCCATGCTCTTTTGCACTCCTGCTGTTAGATTTCTGTTCTTATTTATTGTGAGCATTTTCTCCCTCTCCATCCCTACCCACACTCCCCTACATTCCCTACATTCATACTTTGCCTCTTTGTTTTGCTCCATGGAAATTGTTAATTCTGATAAAATTCCTGTCCTTTTGTTCCCATGAATTATCTTGTAGCTCTTTAATAATGAGAATATTGTCAACCCTCCACACTTATTCTAACTATGGTATTTTTTCACTTCCTTCCTGAAAATCTTTTATTTTTATTATTATTATTATTATTATTATTATTATTATTATTGGTACTGGGTATTTAACCCAGGGATACTTTACCACTAAGTTATATTCCCAGCCTTTTGCTGCTGAGGTCTTCCCTAAGTCGCTGAGGGCCTTCCTAAATTGCTGAGGCTGGCCTCAAGCTTATGATCCTCCCAAGTCACTGGGATTACAGGCCTGCATGCAGATGACTTTTTTTAAAATCTTGAGGTACAGGATAAAAATTCTTCTTCAATAGCAAGAACCCAACAGTTCAGGGCTACAGGGGAGACCCTGCCAATGCCCCAGGAACACATTTCAGCACCCACTCCCTATCCCAGATATAGAGCCCCCTCCAACTCTGCCCTTTAATGTCATCAAATATCTTCCCCACACTTGGCTCAGTCTTGGCGTCCACCCCTAGTCACCCCAGCTGTTCAAGGAGATGTCACTAAGCACCCTGCACCTGCTACGTTGTGTGTCCTAAGGGTTAGTCAGTGGGCTATGTTACAAATAAAATCAGTTCATCCCCCTCAGCTCCAAGGAGGTGCACACTCTACAGCCTTGTTTACAGAGAAGAGGCTGAGCACACCTGCTGGGTTTGTACCCAGAAGAAAGGAGTTGAGTGGCACAGGGACACCTGCACTCCCTGTCCATGACAGCACTGTTCCTAGTAGTCAGAACACAGAATCCATAAGCATCCAGAGCAGATGAGACAATGGGAAAATTTTATGCTTAGGCACAGGGCCACACCATTCAACCTTCAGAATGAGATCCGGCTGTCTACCACAACCTGCGCGGAACTTGGGGGACCCTGCGCAGTGAGAAGACTGACGTCACACGTTCTCCATCCTGTGGCTAAGCCAACCGAGGAAGCAAAGAGTAGAGCATGGCCACCAGGGATAGGGAGGCCGGCAAGTTACGGTGGACAGGAGAAGTGAGTTCTGGGGTCCGGGGCACACTGGGGTGACCGCAGTCAGCACTCATGCTTGGAGCTTAATTGTTATTTTTTTAGTGCTGGGGATTGAATCCAGGGCTTTGAATTTGAGCATGCAAAGCCCCACTACTGAGCCACAGCCCAGCCTGCTGGGTACTTCAAAATAGCCACAGAGAGGATCTTTAAGTATTTCACCACGAAGAATCAATGGCCGTTGGAGGTGATGAATGTGATAATTATCCTGATTTGATCATTAACAAGGTACACATGTGTCAAAACTTCACATCACACCTCATAAATTTGCACAATTATTAGGTGTCATTTTTTTTTTTAAATCAAAGAAAGATTTGAGCAGCAACCCAAACCACATCTCCCTGATGCTAGGGGCTCTGGTGCCGACACACCCTTCCATGTTCCCGAGGACTCCCCTCCACCTTCCGCCTCACGTGCAACCTTCCACTCCCCCATCCTCCCCAGCTCATAGCAGAGTCCCTCTGTCCCCAGGGTCCCCTCTCCTCTCCTTCTAGCCTTCCCTCCACACTGTGAATGAGCTGCCGGCCCTCACAGTGCAGGCCAGTCCTCCAGTCCTCCTCCTTGCCAACCTCAGGCCGCTGAGCCCAGGGACTGTGCTTCAGGGCAAAGACATCCACTGGAACTGGTCTTAGGGCACCAGTGTCCTTTCCCTGGTGACACACCAGCCTCACCCCAGCCTCAGCCCTACCCCGGGTGACTCCCCATCTCAAGGACCCTGCTCCAGCTCCCACCATCCAAAGACACCTTCACCTCCAGCCTCACGGAGAACCCCAGATTCCCAGCATCAGGCCCCATCTCTGTCCTAAAGTCCAGCCACTGTCTGAATCCAACCAGGACCTGGCAAGGGGCCCCTGCTGCGTGGAAACATCCTCCTCCTCTGTAGCCTGACCACCCATCACCAGGGGAACTGCTCCCTCAGGTTATCACTGCCTTTACGGGGTGTCCCAAGGGCAGAGAAAATGTTAAAGGATGTCACAAAAATAAAAATGCTTTCACTTGAAGGTAGAAAACCACTCCCAAATTAGATGGATATTGTTCTAAGGTGACCAGAAGTCTTGATTTATGTATTATATAATTTTAAAATTACAGAGAAGGTACATTAAATTCTGTTACATAATGCACATAATGTTACATGAAGGGAAAGCTATTATGGAAGGGAAAGTTTTCAGTGTTCATTAAAATAATTGGATCTACACTTCTAAATGAAGAGAACGTGGGTATGAATATTTATAAGATGAAACCACGGAGGCCTCTTGATGAAACACCCCCAAGCTCTGAACCGAAGGTGGTGTGAATTACAAGACCGTCTCTGCTGCGGCCCCACGTGTCTGGCAGGTCCTGCCTTTGCCCGCTGCCCCGCTGCCTCTGCCGAAGGCCTCAACCGCACTTAGTTTCTGACCCGTGTCCCGACACAGGAACTCATCCCCAGGTCTCCTGCCACCAAGGACACCAGATGTGGCCCAAGCACAGCCTCCCTCAGCACCTCCGGCTTCCACACCTGTACGCTGGGCACAGCTGGGCTGCAGACCAGAATTCTCCTAGTCTCCCTGTCTGTCTGTCTGCCTGCCTGCGTCTCTGTCTCATTTTCTACTAGGTCACAAGGACAAATCCCAAGGGAACAGAAGCAGATGGACCTGGATGTTGGTGTCACCAGGTCCCACTCTTACTCTGGCCATTGGCAATGAGGAAGAAACAATGATCTGCTTTCATCCAGCTGCCCAGGGGCCCTGCCCCTCCCCCCGTGCTGCTCCCCTCCTGATTTCCTTCCCCTCCAGGCCCTCTGACCTGACCCTCTTCCTGCTTGTCCACCTCAGCCAGCCAGGCTCCCCACTCCCACCAGTGGACCTGTCCTTCCTTGGAGCCCACAGGACCTGCTGCCTCCACAGCCGGCCCACCCGACCTAGACTGGGCCCTGCCCCTCTTTCTCTTAGTCTTCACTCCTCCTTCTGCCCTTGACCTCTCTCTGGCCCTTCTCTGGCCTTCAACCCCTTGGGCAGACTCCCCAGCCCCCACTCCCCTCTGGCCTCCCCTGCCCTCTCCCCTCCCCAGGCTGGCTTCCTGCCAACCTGCCCTCTGGGAGCTGCAGGGCTCAGGAGCCTGCTGGGTGCAGGAGGCAGCACGTGGTGGGCAGTCACTGT